GTTGTGGGAATAACACCACTTTACCAGTGTTGCAAGATAATGGAAAAGGGTATGCTAACTCACAGCTAGTTAGCAGCTACAAGGTTTCCAAGGAACAGGAGGGCTGTGTACTGGGTAATAAATCTACAAGTGGTAGTCCTCCCTGGAACTCTCTGGGTGCAAAGCCTAAGAGTAAATCATTTCCATGGGATTTGGGAGGACGAATAACAGGCAGAGCCCAGCGCTCTGAAATCTGTGATGCGACCGGCTGGCCTGCATTGTTATCACCCAGGAAGAGTGCCTCTTCAACCCCTATTCATACTAGGAAACAGCCGTGGACAGCTGCTAAAGGGAGAACTACAAACAATCCTCCTAAACCACCAAGTGTGCCAATCCAGAACAGATACGCTCCGCTGACCGAGAACCGGAGATCTCTTTCTGATGACCTGGATAACCCGTCCTCTTCACACAGCAGGGTAAGGACCAATAGCTACTCCAAAAGTAAAAGGCTAGAGGGAAAGCTAACGGCTGGGCCTGAAACTCTGATTGTGGGTGATTCTGCTGTAAGAGATGTAAAAGGTCTGTGTAGTAAGAACAACACCAAAGTACTCTGTTTTCCCAAGGATATGGTCTCCGACTTGGCTGAGAAGATCCTGCATATTGGGGCTGAACATCCGACTGTGAAGAATGTGGTACTACATATTGGAACAAATGATGTTGTGAAACAACAGTCAGAAGCGCTGAAAGAAGACTTTAAATGTCTGTTGGAAACTGTCAGCTCTCTAAATGCGGAGGTGTTCATCAGTGGCCCTCTACCGCCAGTCAGAAGAGGAGTGGAGAGATTCAGCAGACTGTTTGCATTGAACATGTGGCTTTCAGCTGCCTGCACTGACCATTCTGTCCATTTTATTGACAATTTTAACTTTTTCTGGGATCGCAGACATCTTTTTAAGGCAGATGGAGTTTGCCTGAACAAGTCAGGAGTGAAATTGTTTATCTCTAACATATTCAACTGCCTGCGTCAGCAATCTGTTCCCTCTGCCAAGGACAAGCGGCAAGAGGAATCAAAACAGGAGAAAGACACAACACATTGCGCAGAAAACCCTGAAGAAGTATCACTGCACCCGCCTGAGGAATGTTCTGATTATGGGAGACCTATGACACAAATGGAGGAGTCTCCACTGCCCGTCACCCCCCCTGTCAACGCCTTGGAAGATACTCTTCATTCATCTCCCAGCTCTCTCTACTCTCCGCTCACCCTTTCACCCTCGCCCTCCCCCCTGGAGTTCGATGACCGCATGAAGGCGAGATGCAGGGTTGGCAGCATGTCCTTTACCCCCGCCCCTCAACGACGCCCACCAAAATCACCGAAGCAGAGACGCGCACCATCTCCCCCGTCTTCATCACTGTGCCTATGTCAACCACCTCCCATCCCTTCAAGAAAGCATCTGCAGTCTCCGAAGCCTGATAAGGATGTGTGTGTACAAAACGCAACAAACTTTTACTGATATGTGCTGGGTCCAGGCTCAAGGGCATATGGCACTCTCAACTCTTTCCAGCACATGCCGGGGCCCTACCTGCCAGTAGCTTTGCCGATATCTGTGTTGATAGGTAATAGATTAAGAGCGGTAAATCAGCTTAGAAACAGGAAGTGCTCAAACGTTTGTGTGAGGTTATCAAATTTAGCAGTGATTCCATGTCAGCCACAGCTTGTCACAAATGTTTTTACTGATAGTGTATTTAACAAACTTAAACTAGCTTTATTAAATGTCAGGTCTTTGGCAGGAAAAACATTTTTAATCAATGATTTTATCACTGAGCACAATCTCGATTTTATGTTTTTAACGGAAACTTGGATTGAACAAAATAACAGTGCAGCTGTTCTTATCGAATCAACCCCTCCCAACTTTAGTTTTATGAGTCAGGAAAGAATGCATAAGAAAGGGGGTGGAGTTGCTATTTTGTTCAATGATTCCATTCAATGCAGGAAGACATCTTATGGGGACTTTGCTTCTTTTGAATATGTGGCCCTTCAGCTGAAATGCTCCTCCCGAGCTCTGTTCCTAAATATCTATAGACCACCCAAATACTGTGCAAGCTTTTTTGATGATTTTACTGAACTGCTGTCTATAGTGTGTATTGACTTTGACCGTTTAGTCATTGTTGGTGATTTTAACATCCATGTTGACAACCCCCAGGACAGAGGGGCTAAAGAACTGTTTTGTGTTCTTGATAACTATGGACTGACTCAGCATGTGGCGGAGCCCACGCACAATAAGGGGCACACTCTGGACTTAATTATCTCAAAGGGTCTGAATATCTCAAAGGTTGTGGTGACTGATGTTGCACTCTCTGATCATTCCTGTGTTTTCTTTGAGAGCTCTATTTCTGTTCACAAAAATGTTCAGAAAGAGGTAACCACAAAGCGATATTTAACTGAAAATACTAGGGAAATGTTTACTCATAATTTCTCATCCACACTTGCCCCTGCTAACATCTCAGTAAATGAGCTAGTAGATCATTTTAATTCAAAAATTAAAAATGTTATAGATACCATTGCTCCAACTAAGGTAAAGGAAGTGATTAGCAAGAAAATATCTCCATGGAGAAAGGCCATGACCGTGAGAACAGAAAAAAGAGAGTGTCGAAAAGCTGAACGTAGGTGGCGAAAAACAAATCTCCAGGTTCACTTTGAAATCTATAAAGAGAGACTTGGCCTTTATAATTTGGAATTGAAAAACGCACGACAGTCTTTCTTCTCTGACATCATTACCAAAAACAAAAACAGCGCACGTGCCTTGTTTGCTACCGTCGACAGACTAACTAACCCCCCAGTGTCAGTAGCCTCTGAATTTCTATCCACCAGGGCGTGCAATGATTTTGCCTCCTTCTTCACTGACAAAATTCAGAAAATTAGACAAGCAGTCAGTGCCTCTACATCAGGTACAGCAAATGTTTTGTCCCTATGTCCACCTAATATCAATTCAAACACCATGACACAATTCCATCAGATTAATGGTAAAAACTTAGAGGACATTATTCAACTTCTGAAATCCTCCTCCTGCTGCCTTGATATTATTCCAACAGGATTTTTTAAAGATGTTTTTCCTTGCATGGCCTCAGATCTACTTCATATAGTAAACACATCTCTTCACTCAGGTATTTTTCCAGAGGCCCTGAAAACTGCAGTCATTAAACCGCTCTTAAAAAAGAATAATCTAGATGCCTCAGTAATGAACAATTACAGGCCAATATCAAACCTGCCATTTCTAGGTAAAATCATTGAAAAAGTAGTATTTCAACAGTTGAGTAACTTCTTGCATTTAAATAACTGTTTGGATGTGTTCCAGTCAGGATTTCGTCCAAACCACAGCACTGAGACTGCTCTTGTAAAGGTCTTCAATGACATCCACTTAAACACAGACAGTGGCAGAACTTCAGTGTTAGTATTATTAGATCTCAGTGCTGCATTTGACACTGTTGACCACAACATATTACTAGACCGACTAGAAAACTGGGTGGGACTTTCGGCAACAGTTCTAAATTGGTTTGAGTCCTACTTAAAGGACAGAAAAAACTTTGTTTCTATAGGTAAATACACATCTGAGTTGACAAATATGACATGTGGGGTACCTCAAGGCTCCATCTTGGGGCCTCTTCTCTTTAACATCTACATGCTACCACTGGCTCAGATAATGAAAAACAACAAAATAAGTTACCATAGCTATGCGGATGACACACAAATTTACGTAACAATTTCACCAGGAGATTATGCTCCAATTCAAACACTGAGTAAGTGCATTGAACAAATCAATGACTGGATGTGTCAGAACTTTCTCCAATTAAACAAAGATAAAACTGAGGTAATGGTTTTTGGAGCCAAGGCAGAACGTATAAAAGTTAGCGCTGAGCTTCAGTCTGCAATGTTCAAAACAACAGATAAAGCCAGAAATCTAGGTGTAGTCATGGACTCTGACCTGAGTTTCAACAGTCACATTAAAACAGTTACTAAATCAGCCTACTATCACCTAAAGAACATATCTAGGATTAAAGGACTAATGTCACAGCAGGATTTGGAAAAACTTGTCCATGCTTTTATCTTCAGTAGACTCGACTACTGTAATGGTGTCTTTACAGGCCTCACTAAAAAATCTATTAGAAAGCTGCAGCTAATTCAGAACGCCGCTGCTCGAGTCCTCACTAACACTAAGAAAGTGGATCACATCACTCCTGTTCTGAAGTCTTTACACTGGCTTCCTGTGTGTCAAAGAATAGATTTCAAAATATTGTTGCTGGTTTATAAAGCTTTGAATGGTTTAGGCCCAAAATACATGTCTGACCTACTGCTAAATTATGAACCATCCAGAACCCTCAGGTCTTCAGGGACTGGTCAGCTTTCTGTCCCCAGAGTCAGAACTAAACATGGTAAAGCAGCATTCAGTTATTATGCTCCAAATATCTGGAACAAACTCCCAGAAACCTGCAGGTCCGCTGCAACTCTTACTACTTTTAAATCCAGGCTGAAGACTTTTCTTTTTGCCGCTGCTTTTAATTGAACTATTCACATCTTAAACTGCACTGTAACTTTTAACTTTTATCCATGTATTTTTTCTTTTAATGTTTATTTTATTATCTTTCCTTTTTAATGACTGATTTTAAATGCCATTTTTAAAATGTCTTCCATTTTTGTAAAGCACTTTGAATTACCTTGTGTTGAAAGGTGCTATATAAATAAACTTGCCTTGCCTTGCCTTGCCTTACATGCACTTTACTGTTTTAATCTGCACAATACTGGTCTCAGATGTACTTTTATTTGCTCGGTAGATTGAGTTAGCAATGCTAGGTTGAATTGGGTAACACTGTTAGCAGGCCACAACATAGCTAGCTAATAACAGCTAGCTAGCTCACTAGTTATTCTTGGCCGCTATAAAAACGTTTTGACTTGTGAATAAGTGTGCCATGTTCTGTGATTTGCTTCACTAACTCATGGCATTAATCGTGTGTTTCAGGCAACGGGCTGTTTCCCCTGGAATTGGATATCAGTGAGCTTTCCCCTCCGGAAATCCACGGTAGCGCCTCCTCATCTCCCTTTCCAACAACCAAACGCAAAGGTACATATAAACACACTGTAACTACTCTGGCCTTGAAAGAAGGTTACGCATCGAACTGATGTCCACTAATCACATTTATTTATTTCTTGGTACAATCATGAAACACCGTGAACATGCATCGTTTACACTTTTCGCGCCCTTTTCACTCTCTCACAAACGTAAACATCCGGGGCTAGAGGTCACATGACTTCCGGTAAGAAAGCTCTTAATCATTTTTTGACAAAATAAAATTCTAGCATACATCAAGCACAAAACAATAAATAAGGGCACTTTGAGCGTCAGCTATTTGATCCTATCTTATATTAGCTAGTAAACACATTCCTAGTAAGTTGTAAAACTACTTGGCTTATTTCTCCTATTAGGAAAGAGGACACGGGATGACAGCTTCCTGGACACCATCACGGTGATGGATGACCGGCGTGCCTTGGCCAGCAAGGAAAATGAGGACCGGCATGCCATGGCCAACAAGGAGATGCACGACGAACGGCTGCTGCATGCACACAAGGCCCAGGAATCGCAGGACCAGCTTCTAAAGGTGATGGCTGACTCGGCGGCGCGCCAGGTGGAGGTGGCGGCGCGCCAGGTGGAGGTGGCGGCGCTCCAGGTGGAGCAACAAAATAGCTTTCAGGCTGGGCTTCTGGGAGTGCTAAGCGAGCTGGTTAAATCCAACAGGCCTCCAATTAAAAAGAAAAGAAAAACTTGTCGTCGTTAGTCAACTATAGAATGACTTGTTTGGAGGCGTGTGGCGCAGTGGCAGTGTGCGTTGGTGTTCGGATCAGGGGAGCACAGGTTCAAACCCCACTGCAGTCAGCATGTCGTTGTGTCCCTGGGCAAGACACTTCACCCCAAATTGCCTACATCTGGGACAGTACATTTTGTATTATTATAATATATATATATATATATATATATATATATATGCCACTGTTATTAATACTGACACCTAACTTTGCACTAAGGTGTGTCTGCTGCTGAGTCTATCCCCACATCTGGGACAGTCAATTTTGTATTATAATAAATATATATATGCCACTGTTATTAATACTGTCACCTAACTTTACACTAAGGTGTGTCTGCTGCTGAGCCTATTATTGTTATTTTATATATATATATATATATATTGCCACTGTTATTATATTGTTTTGATACTACTGACACTTATTGATCTGCTGCTGATAAATAAAAACTATTATAAATATTGAAAAGTCATGACTGATGAAGTGCATTGTTCTGCTGACAGTATTTCTACTCAGTATTTCACCTTTATGGTGCGGTTCTGGGCGACAACACACAGTGAAGATGATCTGCTGCACGTACGTAGTTCTTCAGGTGTGTATGCTTAACATGTATGTATTTATCACAGTAAAGATGGTATCCAAAAGCTTTTTTAAGAGCCTTCAACCTCATCCCATTGTCTTTAACACACATTCAACATAATAATATACTCATTAATATACAAATATACAGTATGAGTACTGTTTTGATACTGACATTTTATCTTTGCACTAAGGTGTGTATGCACTATTGTAATTTTGTCTGTTGACTGTGGTAAATAAAAGAGAGAACCAAAAGCACTGTACAAAAGATCAGCTTTATTGTCAATTTACATGCTGTTCAGATGCGTCATAAGGGCTGTGCGCGTGTCTTGCCCCCCAGCCTCAACAATGTCTGGCGCTGGCCCATCAAGCTGGGTCGCCGGTAAGGCAGTCCATTCCTCCCTGTACTCATCACCACGACGCTCACACAGGTTATGCAATACGCAACATGCTGCCACCTGGATTTTGATATTGTCCATGTTGCAGTCGTTTCGCTTCATCAAGCACTGCCATCTGCCCTTCAGTCTGCCAAAAGCGTTCTCCACCACCACTCGTGCTCGGCTTGTTTTGCGGTTGTACACATGTTGCTGGGGTGTGAGCCTTCCTTGGAAAGGTTTCATCAGCCATCTTTGCAGGGGGTAGGCTGAGTCACCAAGGATATAGTAACCCACATCATGTCCACCAATATTCCTTGTTACATGAGGAAGTAGACCACCTCTATCCACACAACTAACCAGTGATGACAAGCTGAACACTCTGCTATCATGCATGCTCCCTGGTAAGCCAACAAAAACACTCCAAAAGAGGCCCTTACCATCCACAACACCCTGCAGGATGACCGAGTGCCAGCCTTTGCGGTTGAAATACTCGTTGTGGTATTCCTCTGGTCTCAGAATAGGGATGTGTGATCCATCTACTGCACCTACACACTGTGGCACACCCCATCTGCCCTCAAAATATAACGCCATCTCCTCTAACTTCTCAGAGTTCGGCCATGGCATGAACTCAGGAAGGAGTAGCGTCACAACAGCGGAACAGAACTCCTGCACACAGCAACACACCGTAGATCTGCCGACTCCAAACAAATGAGAGATGGTCCTGTACTCAGAGTTGGTCGCAAGTTTCCACAGTGCTATGGCGATTTTTTTAGGCACGGGTACACACTCCCGGTAGTTGGTGTTGCGTCTCCCCAACGTTGCTTCCAGGCGCATACAGAGGAGTTGAAAAGAGCACTTGGACATTCGGAAATCTTTGATCCACTGCACATTGGTGTACGTAGGCACCACCTTTTCCCACCAGGCCGACGTTCTATTGTTCACCCAGAGAAAGCGCGGGACACGACGCGTTCCATAGTATTCGCATATCTGGAACACATACAAAGACACAAATTAGCCCTACATAACTCCATAAATCCTACATTAGATAGTATTAATGTGATTTACTGAACGTACCATTGCTGTTCTTTGGGCGTGATAACGGTCATCATCCTCAGCTGTCCTACGACGAAACATGTCCATAGCGTGTGCTTGTCGCCGTCCAGTCCTTTTGTTAAGGCTTCTTAACCGCCTTCGCCTCCGAATCAGCATTGCTATTGCATTTGAATGGTCGATCTGTATTTGTGGCTGAGTTATTGGCTTAAATAACTCAGTTACGAAGCTGTGTAACACGAGCACCAAAACCACAACTTCAGTCAACTCCATAGCGTGTATGACTGAGGTCGGAAGGTAAACAGAAGCATACAGCGGAAGCGGAAGTTTTTTTTCTTCTTCTCTCGGTTTTTTGGCGGATTGCAACTTTAAGGTGCATACCGCCACCTACTGTACTCGCCGTGAAGTTGTTTGCGGCCTGCCAGGAAAAGCTAAGCAGAAGAAGAAGAAGTGACGTCAGCGGCTCATTTGCCTAATCCACCCCCAGGAACTCATTTTGGTGTGAACGCGATCTGCTTTAGTTCATCAGAACTAAAAGAACTCTCATGAACTAAAGTTCTCATGAACTACTGTGGGAAAAGTACTTGGTGTGAACGCGCCTATGGTCATTTGTTCTGGGAATGTCATTTTCGAGACTGAGACCTGAAAAACAGGGCTTAACAGGTTAAAAAAAGTATTAAAAATGTAAAAAAGAAATTATAATAAAAAAAAGTTACACATTTTACAAAATACACATCCTGTAACAGTTCGGAGGATTTAGCAGCCAGGTATATATTACACAGTTTTAGTGGCATATATATATATTGCACATATTGCACATGGTTGGTATTTAACAAAAAGGGGTGTTATAGTCTGTGTTGTAGTGTGTGATATTGGTATTTATGGAAACATTTTACACCTTTCCTTCAAGTACTATATGTTTTAGTTACTTTTGGGGTACTTAACATGAATAATCACAGTTACTATCCTTTTATCAAAGAGAAATAGGCTATTGTTATTTTAACTCCACCATAGTAATCCATCATCAGCTTTACTTTTTAGATAAAGATTGAACTCACAATTGATCATAACAGACTTCAAAATACATATTTTTATATATTACCAAGTGGTTTCATGTACAACCCACAAAAGTATCATGCTAAATTAAGCTCTGTTGCTTGGATATCACTAGATCCTGTTACATCAGCGTAATATAAAAGTACATAACGATTGATGTGTAAATTAGCATAATTACTAGCTAGCCGCTAGCTGCTAACTGCCGCCTCGTTAATATCAAATCCATCATAAAACAATCCAGTACCATGCTGTCATGAACGTGCGGTGCTGTTACGTGTACGCAAATTGACGTGCTTGATGTGAACGAGCCTTTTGGGGGGCGTGGTTAAAGTTGCGCATGCTCTATGAGCACACATACAGGTACTTCTCAGGCATGACGGGTAATCTGTGATGTTTCGCTCTCTCAAAAGTTGCATGGGAGCCTGCCTGCAGGCGCCAGTCTCAGGACACCTCCACTCTGAGGACACCTCCACTCTCAGGATAGGAAGTGCATGCACGCTAAGAATTACAAAATAAAATCGCCACTATCAGTACAGCGCCACTTTCCGAACAGGAAATGCACACAAATACAAAATAAAATCGTACCGACACTTATTATATACATATGTATATATATATAAAAATAGGGACACCTTGTATTGTTTACTCTCAGTACAGCACCACTTTCCAAACAGGAAATGCACGCTAATACAAAATAAAATCGCACCGACACTTATTATATCTATATATATAGATATATATATTTATATATTTAAATAACAACATCTTGTATTTTAGTTAAACCCGCTAGACAACAGTGGAGGGTTCGAGAAACAACCGTGTTTGCCGGGTGCACCGCGGCGGAGGTGGGGAGGTTCCAGCCGGGAACCTCCACCCCGCTGCGGGACCCGTGGTGGGACCCCTGAGTCAGACGGTGCATCTTGGTCACGCTTCATATCGGCCGGCCCGGGAAGGAAGAGACACGCATAGGGGGGGAAGTCCCCCACCCCAACGCAGCACACCCTCCCGGCCATCAGAGTCGAACCCGCAGTTTGGAGGAACCGCCCGCCAGAGCACCGGCACTAGGCCGGGCCGGTGGAGGCCCTCCGATGGTGGGTCGCGTTTGCGATCAATGTCATTTTCTCCAGAGGTAAAAAATGTGTTATCTGATCAATGAAAAGTTTAAATGTTGGGGGACGTTCATTCTTCCAGAATAAAAGTATACATTTCTTGGCAAAATATGTTATTGTGATTAGTATTCTGTAATGTTTTGGGTTCAGTTTAAAGTTTGGCATGTCATTTAACAGGAAAAAACATGGATTTAGGCTAATTTCGATGTCTAAAACGGCTTTTCTGAGAGCATGAATCGAATCCCAGAAATGTTTCAAGAGATCACAATCCCAAAACAGATGCATAAATGTTCCTTCTTTTATTTTACATCTCGGACATTTTGGAGAGTTTTCTTTGGAAATGTTATGCATCTTTATGGGTGTGAAATTTGTTGATACATTTAAAGTTTGCTTCTTTGATTTTATTGCTTGTGAATGGAAAATGTGTTCTTTCACAAATATTCAGCCAAGTAGTTTCATCTATCCGTATCCCTAAGTCCCTTTCCCAGATCTTTTTTAATGTTAGAAAGGATGACTGAGCTCTTTTAGAAAAAACTGCAGTAAATTCACTAATTTTACCTTTGATCGTGCTCGATGACATCAATATCTCCTCCTCCATTGTGATTTGAAAACTTCCATCAGACGAGTCCTTCGGGGGGCGGGAAAAAAAACGTGTTCTTCAGAATCGTCACTTCCTGTACTGAGAGTGGAGGTGTCCTGACAGTGGAGCTTACACTGGAACTGTTCTGAGAGTGGAGGCCTGCAGGCAGACCCCTCTCGAAAGTTGGGCCATTTTGTCTTCATGCGCCAATGAGCAACTCTCATAGGAATGAATGAGGCCCCGCCTCCCACGCTGTATCCAGTTCTTATTATACATCCATGGTGTGTGCATGTGGAAATTCCCCTTCAATTCTATTGGCTCTAACGGTTCA